GTAGTGAGAGCATCTTCAGGCTTTACTGATAGTGGCAGCCCTGGACGAGGTAGCCAAGTCCAAAGAAAGTTGTTTAAAATGTCGAGCAAGATATCTACAACTAGGTAGGATGATTCCATAAACAAGTAACATTGTTCTCGCCATGGAGATTGGTATCTAGCATGATGTTTTCAGTTTACAAGGTTGGCTGTGGAAAACCCCTCACACATCCAATGACAAGTCCCTGAAAAGTTGATGGACTCAAAGATTGTTTGAAGTAGTTTATAACTTTCTTTCTCGTTAGGACATTTTTTTTATATACCTTGATGCATGTTCTACTTTAAAGGATTTCTTTTAAGCTACTACAGGGTGAAGGAGAGCTCAACATTGTCAGAGATGGATATCCAAGGCCAAGAACCAAAGTGAACCTTTGATGTATGTGTGTCTTCCCATTTAACTTTCTTCTAAGCTGCTTTGTTTTTCTTTTGTAAGCTATCCAGTAGGATCCAGTAGGAGCACGGTCATTTAGAAGCAAGAGACTTAGTTTAGCGAATTGCAAGTTTCGTGACAAAGAGATGTCAAAGATACAAGGACTTTTAGTGACCATGTCAATATCTCTGAAGGTCACCCTTGAAAGACTTGACTTTAGCGTAAGTATAAAGTACTTGCAATGTGAAGTGCCATTGTTATTAGCATTTTGTTGATGCTACAGGATAATATGATTTGAGTAAAAAGGTGCATATGATGAAGTTCTGCCGCTAATGATATGCTTTCTAGATTTTGTTTGCTAGACAGCTTCTTCACACTTTCAAATTCGAGTCCTAGCTCAAATTTTTGATTGCCATAGTGATTTTGACTGTGGCTTTTCCAACCCTTTTGTCAAGAGCACTACAAGAGCATACATGGCTTCAAGCATCTAGTTCAAACAAATCAACAAAGATGAAATTTAAAATTGCTTGTGGCTCAAGCTCTTTCACGTTCATTTTCTTGCACATTTATTGCAAGATGGGGTTTAGCATCTAGTACAGAAAGCAATACACCACATTCTGCACCCAACTTCTCTGAAGTCCTTAAAGAACTCTCTATCCGGATGCACAATGATCATTTTCCAGGATTCCAGTGTTAGGCATACAATGTTAACGTGGTAGATTACCTGAGAGGGGCTTTCAGAGGTAGCTTGTGTTTCTCGCATATTAGTTCTCTTGGAAATTTTAGGTTGTTGTCCAATGCAATCAGCAGCAATCTTGTGAGTTGTTGCTATGGGATTGCTAGTTTGTGTGCTTTGAATTCTAGAAATTGTTAAGAGAAGCATTGCAAGATTTCACGAATAGATATTTGTATTATAGAGAAAGCATTTGAAAAATAGACAAGAGACAATTGTATCTATTTCTAGTTGTTGGCAATTTCCATGACTGAATTGTTTGGTGTCTCAAAATGGACAATAATATTTGCCTCATTCAATAGAAAGAACCCTATTAGTTTTGAAGACAGATAAACAGCAATCTTTTCTAGGGATTCCAAAGCAAACTTGACCATAGACCCTTCATCCAAATTATAAATTTTATCCACCATTTTATCATACACTGTAACTATATTCCATTATGTCATTTGATATAATAGAACCAATTATTGTAGCTGATTTATGAGGGATGGAATGCCCTTTACACTTTGCGCAAACAACAAAACCATCTTCTCTCTGCTCTAATATTGTGAAAGAGCAAAATGAGCAAAGACTTTCAGCTTGAGTGAGGCTTTGTTGGTTGTCAGGGATGAAATATCCACTAATCTATATAATTGGAAGTTAGAGTTGAAAGTAGATGTAAATAGTTTACATTACCTTGTCTTTAGAAGTGAGGCCACAGTGTGATTTATAAACTTCATTGAGCCTCTGAATTTCATTTGAATCAACTAGTGGCAAAAATAAAGTACTTCCAAGTGTTGCTAAATCACCTGATACACTCATGTTTTTCATAATATTAAAAAATAAAAACTTTGGCATATATCCAACATATAAATCTGCTACAATATGATGATATTGCTCTTCATGCTCCAGATGCATATAGAGTTGTGAAAATATCTTAGAAATAGAAAATTAAATAGGAAAAAACATTACCATAGTTATGTCCAAAGGATTATCAGAAGAAGCAATCTTTATTTTAGATAAAACACCAATGATGATTACAATAGCATGTATAGCTTGTGGATAAACTCTAGTAGCCATTAAAGATGATATAGAAGCTCCTCTAGTTGGCTGTAATCTTAATTTAACATCAAAATCATCTTTAATTTGAATCATAGAAGAATCTGTAATATAAAGAACTTTTTCTAAAGTTCTATGGTGGTAAACTAGGTTTTTCTATCGTTCAACCCATCTGAAGTGAGAGAATTATAATCTTGTTAATTTTTTTAAAAATAAATTACAAACCTTGTAAGTGAGAAACATTTACCAACGATAAATTTATTTTATAATCATGCACACATGGATGAATTGCCATATGCAGTTAAAGTTTGCAAGCCATGCATATCTGTACAATCCATTATATAAATTAAGTATTTTGCACTTTGCAGAGTGTTCTTTGGAGGCAAAAATCAAATCAAAACTACAGAAAAAAAAAGATTTTAAAACCATATATAGATAAAATCTTCAGCTCAAGAATTTTGGTTGAATTTGCTTTTCCAAAGACAAGTGTTGCAATAGTAGCTTTTAGGATGGTCAACTTTGTCCTCTTTGCTTGTGAAACTACAAAACCAAAAAGAAATAAATCAAGAAATACTAAGGAATAAAGAGAAAAACCAAACCTTCATAAGAATTTGTTTCTGTAGACAAATCCTCAGCGGGTGACAATTGAACAATATCCATAGCACAATCCAAATCTGACATATCTATGTGATTGATTAAACAGAATTACCTCTAGTTAATTTATACTAGTAAAAAGATCCAAAAATAAACTAGACTTCACTTTGAAGAATCGAAAACAAAAAAGAATAAAAATTTGAGCTAAAAATTAAAATCTGTCAACTAGGGTTACAGTAGACAATAAACCAATTCCACAGGTGACAAACCTTCTGAACCTTTTCAACATTGTCCAAGCTGAAGCTAGAAGCAACCTGACTGTACTCCTCAGCTGCTACAATCTCCCTCCATCCATCGCTTTAGAAAAGAGGAATGAATAGGAATAGAAAGATTGTCCTCCACTAATCTTTATTTTCTACACATAATAGGGAGCCATACAGAGGAAGATCTAAGTCCATATATGCATTCCAGGTTGATTGATTGATTCTGGGCAATCAATCAGTACCGCCATAGTGGGTTTCTAATCCTGGATCGTGGCTCTCAGCTCAAACCTCCAGGGAGAGCCAATTCTCAATCAATTCACTAGTCCAAATATGATTTTTCTTGATGCTTCCCAGAGACAAGAGCAATCCATTGGAGCCAGTGGACAATGCAGTGGCTGGGAATGACAATAGCATCATGATTGATCTCAAGGGGGCACTACTCAAATTCCTGAGCTGGTTTCAATGCTTCATGCTTGTCACAATTGAGGCTGGGAGGCCTCTATGAGCGCTCCTCCTCTTTTTCATTCTTCCCTTCACGTGGATCACTGGCCGCTTCGTCCATCCAGTCTTGGCTCCAGATTCTCTGCTTCATGGCAGAGCCTGGATTAAGGGCCTTGGCAGTGGAACTTTGAGAGCTTATGCTCATGATGATACAAAGTGGTTAGAAAAGTTTATAAATTATAATTATGTTTATAAATTATAAATACGAAATTAATCTAAATGAATAGATGATAGAATATCCTAATATATCCAAGCATATTCTAAGTATATTCATTACTATACAGGTTTGCTTAAGAAAACCAAAAAAAACCATATATGGAAAAAGAAACCATGAGCATCTTTACTAAGGAGATATAATACTCACTTCCACGACAAAAAAGCTAGCCTCCTCGACAGCCTCGAGGGAGATGGCACAGGCTCCTCTGGAGGCAGCAGCCATTGCCAAAGGGTACTACTGTCAACTTCCCAGCCAAGATGAGAGCCAACTGCAAAGCTTTTCTGCTCGAGAGCATCCCGAGATGCAAATCTGACTATCCTCTGGTGAGGCTCAAGGGGGACGTCCAGGGGCACTACACTGGATCACGCGTGGTATGGCTTCAAGAAACTGGAAACTTTCCTGGACTTTGCTGGAGCTGCTCATAGGCATCAGGACGGGGGACCAGAAGCTTCTCCACTTGAAGGAGTTGGAAGATAACAAGATCAAGGGCAAGGACAACATCAAGAACATGTGCTTCTGTTCTTGACGAGGAAGAGGAGCTTGACGAGGTTGCGATGACTCTGGAACCAGAGGAAGAAAAGAAGAAGCAAGAAAAGGCAATGGTGGATGTGAAGAAGTGGAAGAAAGCTACCACGGCTAGCATCCAGGCAACATGGAAAGCCCAGGCTCCCGCAAGCAATGCCAAGGCGCAAGGAGTGAACAAGAGTAGCAGCAGTGGCAAGCTCAAGATGGGGGGTGGAAAGCTAAGCGAGCTCATTAGAAAAGTAATGAGATAGCATTGACTGATAGTAGTCAGCGTTAGTCCACCCTACTAACGAAAATTCGCAGCTCAAGTCACACCATGATAATCAATAAATCCATCAGCGAGGCTACTCTCAGCCACATTCTCCGTGAAACAGAGCCTCATTCTAATGAATTCATTGATGTGCTTATAAAGCTGGTAAAGAATTAGTGACTAACGTTGACTGCTATGACTACTATTATCTACTACTTCCGATAAGAAATGTTATTGAAAGTTTATATTTTTAAAACAGGAAATTAAATGTCCAAAGTGTTTGTTTGAGACTTGCAATATAATCCCCCCAATTCAATATCTCTCTGTTGTCTTAATGAAAAGTTGTTGTCTTGTTGCCTTGTTTGAGACTTGCAAATCATAATCTCCTAATTCAAATGCCTCCAGACTTCTCCATCTGTTATAATTTCGATTGAATACGACGGACCTGCCTTTGCCTGTTGCGGTTTAAAAAAACCGAAGTAATTTGTTTCATGAATCTTCATTCTGTGCCTGCAACCTCAAGCGTATCATCAGTCCAAAACGACCGAAAAGCGTACCTCCTTTCGCTCTAAGCTCCGTCGAGCTCCAGCTTAACCTCCGAGGTGGAAGGCTAGTTCAAGCAGAAGTTATACTTTGACTCGAGGCATGGAGACTGTTTACCTTGGCATCTGAGTCGTGTACACGAGCAGCCAAATGCGAACCTCCAGAATTGGCCGAGTGATTTGCCTCAACCACGGGCTTCTCCAGATTCTCCACCTCACGGATCCTAAAAGTGCTCCATTAGTCACTTGTTCTATCTCTCAAGCATGAAGACTTACCTGTGGGAGTGCTTGTTGCCAGGCCTCCTCATCCCAAACTCGGTGATCCTTTGCATGTGCTTCTCCATCTCAGCTCGCTTCTCCGCTGCTGCCGCGAGCTGAACAACGAAAGCATCTCCAGGATCGAACACAGTGCCACGATGAGACACTGGATCCAAAGCCTGTTCCTGGGCTCTTCGATCATTGCCGCTCCGACGAGCAGCACTCGACAAGAATGGATCCTCCGGGAGAGAAGCTCTTGGCACCTTCTTGTGCTCGTCGACTCCATGGATCGCTGCTGGTGGATCTCGTCCCAATGGCGGCGTCAGGGGGTCGTCAACCGAATCGGTAGCAGCACCATAGATTGGATTCATCTTGAGAAAAGCCGAAGGTGGCAGCCGCCTTGGAGGCCTCGCGAGTGGAGGACTGGCCACCTTTGTGCTGGGATTTAGCTGCGACGGTCGAAGGTGCTGCTCGCTCCTCTCTTGAACGAAGGAATTGAGCTTGTCCCGGAGCTCTGCGTCCTCAATCTTGCTCAAGGGAACGAGATACTCTCGCTGACTGCCGCTGCTGCTGCTGCCACCGCCAGGAAGATGGCTGCTCCCGACGTAGCGCACCAGGATGTCATTCGCCTTCTTTCTTCTTCCCTTCACGAGTATCCAGATGCCGGTGACGATGGCCACCATAGCAAGCAGGAAAAGGACGATGCCTGCCGCAAGCAGCCCCGGTGTCGCAAACGCTGCCGCTGCTGCTGCTACTGTTGATGATGACGACCCCAGAGGCGGAGCAATAGACAAGGGGCCAGGCGGAGGCGGCGATGAAAACGTGTGAAAGACAGGCGACCCTGGTTGCCATGTTATCGTGTCATGAGCGGGCCTTGGCCACCAAGTGGTTGTCCCAGAAGAAGGTGGCGGCCCTGTATGCTCCTTTGCTGGTGGACGTGGCGGCGGCCCAAACCTCCTTGGTCGCCAAGTGGTTGCCCCGGAAGAAGGTGGCGGCCCTGTATGCTGCTTTGCTGGTGGAGGTGGGTGCTGCTTTGCTCCTCCTCCGTGGCTGTGCTGCTTTGCTGCTCCGTGGCTTGCTGGTGGCGGTGGCGGACTGTGCTGGTGCTGCTTTGCTGCTCCGTGGCTTGCTGGTGGAGGTGGCGGACTGTGCTGGTGCTGCTTTGCTGCTCCGTGGCTTGCTGGTGGAGGTGGCGGACTGTGCTGGTGCTTCTTTGCTGCTCCGTGGCTTGTTGGTGGCGGACTGTGCTGGTGCTTCTTTGCTGCTCCATGGCTTGTTGGTGGAGGTGGTGGTGCTCCATGGCTGTCCTGCTTTGGAGGTGGTGCTCCTCCATGGCTGTGCTGCTTTGCTGCTCCATGGTGTTGCTCTGCTGGTGCTGGTGGAGGTGCCTGACTGTGGGCTCTGCTGTGAGGTGGCGGAGCTCCTCTCGCCCTCCTTGGCGATGGTTTGGGGGGCGGCATGCTACCTGGAGGTGGCACTCTCGTTTTGGGCGGTGTCGCGCTCCTGTGCCCTGGACGAGGCGGATGCACGCTCCTGTGCGCAGCTGGAGGCGGCGCCCGACGAGGTGGAGACGACGGCGGCACACTCCGACGGATGATGCTAGCCATATTTCTTGCTTACCGGATTCGCTTCCGAGAAACCTTTTTTTTAGGTCATGAAGGTTTAGTGCATATAAATGATTCTTGTACGGACGCATTATCTGCAGCGCTTTAAAGTTATGATGTCCAGTTTTTGCGATCATGATGGAAGCAATATCACTGTTCGGAATCTCTTTCTTTCATTATCACATAATGCTCATTTGGTTCTTCCCCCAAAAAAACCGGAGCTCGTTGATAAACTCTCAGGCTCAATTCTAGGAGGAAGAGCAAAGATGAGAATGGTCGTTCACCACGATGCAATGCTCCGTGCGTAAGAATTTAATCAAAATCTCCACTCTGGAAGCTTATGTTGTTTGAAAATTCTTTTCATTGCGTTTTAGGCGTCAAAGATCGTGTATTGTGACCTTATCGACACACACAAAAGAGAGACAGCCCATAGCAATGGTTTTTATAGTTGAATTTGCTTTGATGGTGATTCACTCTTCAATGGGCACATGGATCAGGTATGCCTAGGGCTAAAGAAATTGATGTTTAATATTTGATCATAGTAAATAACGACTTAAATTACCACTATATTTATAGCTTCATTTTTGGACTTAGTCGTACTACATATTTTTTTGTTTATAACTATTATAATTGACTTAAAACTTAGTCACAAATAACTACTAAACATAACAACTATATTTTTTGTTTTATAACCATTATAAATGACTTAAAATTTAGTCATAAATTGCAACTTAGCTTAAGAAATTTTTTAATTCTGACTTTAAAGCTAGTCAGAAATAATGACTACTAAAAATAAGTGCATATTTTCGTGTCTTAAATTGCAGTTACAATATCAATGGAAAGCTTAATGACAGAAATTTAAGTTGTATAGCGAATTAATGCAATAACATAAAACTAAGTCAGGCTCATGTAGTAATGGACGATCTTGTTTGTGTCGGGCACATTCTACAACAATGAGCCAACTGCCTGATCGGGGGGATGATGCTGGATTGAAAGGAGTTCCCCCAGTCAGGATCAGGATCACCGAGTAGGAGCTTGATGCTTCATATTGGATTGTTGTTAATGTCCAGTGCTGGCTGCTGAGCCCAGGTAAGCTTGATGCTACTGGGAATTCATACTCAATTGGGAGTGTCCAGCCCTGGCCACTGAGCTTGTGACACATAATCGATGCCAAAATTCTTCCACACATACGCAATCTTGCCATAGACACCTTGCTTGATGTTTGTGGAGAAGATGTTGTGGACGTGGAAGAAGGCCTTGGTGAGGGACTTGCTTAACGTTTGGGGTGACAAAGCACAGCATAGGCTGAGAGGAAGCTAAAGAACCATAGCTGAACACTCACCTGGAACTTGGGGACAGCCATGAATGAGGATGTGAAGCTCCTTCCTGAGCTGTAGGATGACTTTCAAAGTAAAGGAAACACTTTACTGACAAGCACAAATTCTCACATCATGATGAAACAAGAAGAGCTCAATCAATGACCTATGATAACAAGATAGCTGGAACAAGAAGTTAGTATGTATATTCCAAAATACCCAATCCTTGTGATGGCCAAAAGTGTCATAATAAAAATTTAGAAGACCTCGAATGAGTAGATATATGCAGCTTTTGTTGGATTTGATGGGGACACATTTAGCACAAGAAAAGTGAAGAATATTTAGAGCTAAATCATCGTCAATGCTTCATATTGTGCAAAGCCCCTTCCAATGACAATACTAATGATGAAACAAAATGACAAACTCATATAGTTGGCAGAAACAAGGAGCAGCAAAAGAAGCACTCCTTCTTTTGGCACTTGCAATGTTTTTCTAGAAAGAACAATAGAACTCTTTGCAAGGTAATCATACTATATTCAGAAAGTAATAAACTCCAAAACACCACAAACTTGTAAGTGAGTACTCTTTTCTTGATCAATAGTACACAAAATTCTCCTATAGCTTGTTTGTTCATACTCTAGGAAAGCTACCTACATTAACCAGTAGCTAAAGAGAGAAGTACCCATAAGAACTACTCATTGCAAGGCCCTAGTCATTGTACACTTTCTTCACCTCCTTGATACAGGCATTGCCTTTTTTGCCATAATTGCTCTTTAGTCTTGCTTTCTGGCTAGCATCTGCTAGTTCAATAGCTCTTGGATATTTGTTCCAACCTGGACTATTCAATGAGCTTGACATGAAGGACAAAACAGCAAGGAGCCAACCTTGCCAATAACGTTAGGATGTTTATAACAATCTAAGAAATCATCTTGCAGGGGCCAATTCCATCAACAACCAAAGGTAATGAACCACAAGGACCTGAATTTAAAAATAGGTTCCCATTTGTAGTAGTATTTGTTTCACATATTCAAACTTGGAGTTGTCACTCTTGTCTGAGATATACAAAGCACAATTCTCATATGACTTCAATGACTTGGTTTATAATGTCACTCTTGCTTGCCGGAAGATATAAAGAATAAAACACTGTCTTGAACTTCACAATCCTAAGATAGTTGCATAGACAAACATTATGGATATTTATGGAATCGAATAAAACTTACATTTCCATCATGTATTTGGACAAATCAACCTTCCTGGCTGGTTTGCAATGTAATCAGATCAACACACCTCATCAAAAAGTTCACGGAGATCAAAGTAGTACCACTGACCATGGAAATACTTCCTCAAAATCCTAGGTACATGGTTTGTAAGCAATAATGCATTATTCACAGCAATGATACCCACCTAATCACAAAGGAAGACTGTATCATAGCTCATCAATAAAATTCACGTATTGTTGTGTGAATCATCCATTATATCATCCATTATTAAGAAGTAAGTTTGCAACTATACATGGAAAAGCAAAAGGCAGAAACCAAAACTATTTAGAAATTCTTTACTAATTGATGCAAGAATTTACCCATTCAATACACCATCCAAGAGCAAACACTTGTTTGATTTCATCTTGGGAGAGCTCATCTTTGGGCTTGAGTAACACCAAATTGTCAATCATTAAGAGACCTTGATTTAATTTTCTAAATATTTCTATAATTTTGTCCACTTCTAAAAGAAAAACACACTTCTAAGAGCTTTAAAAACTACTTTTTGTACACCCTATTTGTAAAATAAGATTGGCATTATTAATTTATATATATCAAACTATTTATCATTTCATATTTTATTTCCTCATAATTATTATCATTTTTTAGAATAGTATGGTAGTTTCTCCCTCCTTAGGTTCTAGAAAGGATATTGAAAATATAGTAAACATGAATTGCTATGTGATTCACTCCAAACCTACATAAAGAACAAATAAATGGTTATAAATACTATGAAAAGAATACCATTTCATTAGTTTCCTCTGTCTTCATCTAGCAAAAGATGTTGAGAGTTAATGAGTGAAAAATATTATGAAAAATTAATTCACTTACACTAGGGAGTGGGTTATTCATTAGCTCATCTTTGTCTTGAATAGCCCTTGTGCAACACTTATGCCAATACATCTCCTAAAATGTCTAGTTTTTGAGAAATAAAATAAAATTTAAATACCTCTTTTTAGTGTTGAGGACATGAAATGCCATCCTAAAAAGAATAAACATTGTAAATAAATAGAACCAATTTAGGGTTGCTTAATCAGCTTGGTAAGACTTCCAATTGTTCCTAATGCATAGGTAAAGTTGGTAGGAAATCCTGAAAATGCTTTGAGTATTGCCCCTCAAAGTTTGCGTTGCATTTCTTGGTTATCACTTAAGTTAGTGTGCTTTATTGGCAAGTGGATTCTACAACTATGAGCAACTAATGCTATTGTCTTTGTAGAGTGTTTTTATTGCCTATGAGCCCACTTTTTGCCGCATACTTGCTCCTCCTTTGGCTTTTCCGCTTCTTCGAGATTTTTTAATGTTTGGATTGCATCCTCTATTCTTGTTTTGAAGCTCTAAAATGTCCCACTCTCAATCTTCTTGAGGAAGTGTAATGACACTCTAACCACACAAACACTTGTAATGTAATTGTGCAATCCCCCAACATAGCCCTTTCAATCTTATTAGGGTCACTATCATTTGTGGAGAAAACATTTATAGCCATCCTTATACAGTTATTTAGTTTACAACATGTTAAAATTGTGTGGATATTGTAGTGGATGAAATGGTAAATTTTAGCAATATATAATAATATTTCATATGAGAATCCTAAACAAGAAAATACTAAAATCAGAAAAAAAAAAAAACACCTGTAAACACAACTAATATGTTAGATATGTAAGGTCATAAGTTGGATTTTCTCCATAAACTTTATAGCCTTGGAGAAGAGTAAATGATTCTTACCTAGCTTAAACAACCAAATATTTTTGGTGGAGGAAACATAATAATAAATGAAAGAAAAGAAAGAAAGTAAAGTGCCTATAACATTTTATATTCTATACTTTTCTGATGTTGCCTATAAACCCAACACCAAAAAATATTGCAAATTGAACTATTTATCTACTCTACCTCTACTATGAACTCATGAAGTGAGGACTTAGAAACTACATGGAAAACTAATTTTATATCTATATCATGGTAGCACTAAAAAAGTCTATTTCACTTCCAATTTTATAAGTATGCTTTGAAAGAATCAATGTTATACATGGCTGAAAAACCATATGCATGGGAGATTGTTACAAAAAAGTGATAAAAAGTAAATAAATTTTTTATATTTTGCCAAACATTATTCTGAGAATAAATGTGAAAATTAGAAAATAATCAAATCTTTCTGTATAATCAATTTAATCTCAGTTACATTTTTTTTTTAACTTTTATATACCACCATTGGAACCATACCATCTTTGGTTTGCTTAAGCAAACGGTAGGGGGACTGAAATGGTAGTGAATAAACATAGAATATGCTTGAATATTTTAGAATATTCTACCATCTAACAGTTGTTATTTATTTAGATTAATCTTATAATTTATAAACATGTTTATAATTTATAAACTTTCTTAAACACTTTTTAGTATATTCTTTTTTCTTCTACCTGCAATAAGATTAATATTGTGTTTTATAAATATGTCTATAATTTTAAATTTTTATTTAATCAATTGGATTAATAAGTAAGAATAATACTACTATTAAACAAAGTAAATATTGCTACATGCAATGCATAGCAAATTTTTCTGACAGCTACCTGAAACTGATAGAAAAACAAAAAAAAAAACAATGTATGGAAAGAAAACTAGTGTTGTGGTTAAGCTTGAGCATCTTTAGTAAGGAGATATAGTACTCACTTCCATGACAAAGATAGCCTCCTTGACAGCCTCGAGGGAGATGGCACAGGCTCCTCTGGAGGCAGCAGAGGAGACTACTACTGTTGACTTCCCAGCCAAGATGAGAGCCAACTGCAAAGATTTCCTGCTCGAGAGCATCCTGAGATGCAAATCTGACTATCCTCTGGTGAGGCTCAAGGGGGACTTCCAGCAGCACTACACTGGATCACGTGTGGTATGGCTTCAAGAAGCTGGAAACTTTCCTGGACTTTGCTGGAGCTGCTCATAGGCATTTGGACGGGGTCGGGTGGCCAGAAGCTTCTCCACTTGAAGTAGTTGGAAGATAACGAGATCAAGGGCAAGGACAACATCAAGAACACGTGCTTCTGTTCTTGACGAGGAGGAGGAGCTTGACGAGGTTGCAATGACTCTGGAACCAGAGGAAGAAAAGAAGAAGAAAGAAAAGGCAATGGTGGATGTGAAGAAGTGGAAGAAAGCTACCACGGCTAGTGTCCAGGAAACATGGAAAGCCCAGCCTCCCGCAAGCAATGCCAAGGCGCAAGGAGTGAACAAGAGTAGCAGCAGTGGCAAGCTCAAGATGGGGGGTGGAAAGCTAAGCGTGCAGCTCCCGCCTTGTTTGAGGCTCTGTTTCACAGAGAATGTGGCTGAGAGTAGCCTCGCTTTCAAGACCTCCAATCCATATGGTGTGACTTGAGCTGCGAATTTTCGTTAGTACAGTGGACTAACGCTGACTACTATCAGTCAATGCTATCCCATTACTGTTCTAATGAGCTCATTCTTATGAATCCATTGATGTGCTTATAAAGCTGGTAAATAATTAGTGACTATCGTTGACTTCTATGACTACTATAACCTACTACTTACGATAAGAAATGCTATTGAAAGTTTATATTTTTAAAAACAGGAAATTAAATGTCCAAAGTGTTTGTTTGAGACTTGCAATATAATCTCCCAATTCAATATCTCTCTGTTGTCTTAATGAAATGAAAAGTTGTTGTCTTGTTGCCTTGTTTGAAACTTGCAAATCATAATCTCCTGATTCAAATGCCTCCAGACTTCTCCATCTGTTATAATTTCGATTGAATACCACGGACCTGCCTTTGCCTGTTGCGGTTTTAAAAAACCGAAGTAATTTGTTTCATGAATCTTCATTCTGTGCCTGCAACCTCAAGCGTATCATCAGTCCAAAACGAGCGAAAAGCGTACCTCCTTTCGCTCTAAGCTCCGTCGAGCTCAAGCTTAACCTCCGAGGTGGAAGGCTAGTTCAAGCAGAAGTTATACTTTAACTCGAGGCATGGAGACTGTTTACCTTGGCATCTGAGTCGTGTACACGAGCAGCCAAATGCGAACCTCCAGAATTGGCCGAGTGATTTGCCTCAACCACTGGCTTCTCCAGATTCTCCACCTCACGGATCCTAAAAGTGCTCCATTAGTCACTGGTTCTATCTCTCAAGCATGAAGACTTACCTGTGGGAGTGCTTGTTGCCAGGCCTCCTCATCCCAAACTCGGTGATCCTTTGCATGTGCTTCTCCATCTCAACTCGCTTCTCCGCTGCTGTCGCAAGCCGAACAACGAAAGCATCTCCAGGATCGAACACAGTGCCACGATGAGACACTGGATCCAAAGCCTGTTCCTGGGCTCTTCGATCATTGCCGCTCCGACGAGCAGCACTCGACAAGAATGGATCCTCCGGGAGAGAAGCTCTTGGCACCTTCTTGTGCTCGTCGACTCCGTGGATCGCTGCTGGTGGATCTCGTCCCAATGGCGGCGTCAGGCGGTCGTCAACCGAATCGGTAGCAGCACCATAGATTGGATTCATCTTGAGAAAAGCCGAAGGTGGCAGCCGCCTTGGAGGCCTCGCGAGTGGAGGACTGGCCACCTTTGTGCTGGGATTTAGCTGCGACGGTCGAAGGTGCTGCTCGCTCCTCTCTTGAACGAAGGAATTGAGCTTGTCCCGGAGCTCTGCGTCCTCAATCTTGCTCAAGGGAACGAGATACTCTCGCTGACTGCCGCTGCTGCTGCTGCCACCGCCAGGAAGATGGCTGCTCCCGACGTAGCGCACCAGGATGTTGTTCGCCTTCTTTCTTCTTCCCTTCACGAGTATCCAGATGCCAGTGATGATGGCCACCATAGCAAGCAGGAAAAGGACGATGCCTGCCACAAGCAGCCCCGGTGTCGCAAACGCTGCCGCTGCTGCTGCTGCTGTTGATGATGACGACCCCAGAGGCGGAGCAATAGACAAGGGGCCAGGCGGAGGCGGCGATGAAAACGTGTGAAAGACAGGCGACCCTGGTTGCCATGTTATCGTGTCATGAGCGGGCCTGGCCACCAAGTGGTTGTCCCAGAAGAAGGTGGCGGCCCTGTATGCTCCTTTGCTGGTGGAGGTGGCGGCGGCCCAAACCTCCTTGGTCGCCAAGTGGTTGTCCCGGAAGAAGGTGGCGGCCCTGTATGCTGCTTTGCTGGTGGAGGTGGGTGCTGCTTTGCTCCTCCTCCGTGGCTGTGCTGCTTTGCTGCTCCGTGGCTTGCTGGTGGCGGTGGCGGACTGTGCTGGTGCTGCTTTGGTGCTCCATGGTTTGTTGGTGGCGGACTGTGCTGGTGCTGCTTTGCTGCTCCGTGGCTTGCTGGTGGAGGTGGCGGACTGTGCTGGTGCTGCTTTGCTGCTCCATGGCTTGTTGGTGGCGGACTGTGCTGGTGCTGCTTTGCTGCTCCGTCGCTTGCTGGTGGAGGTGGCGGCCTGTGCTGGTGCTTCTTTGCTGCTCCATGGCTTGCTGGTGGAGGTGGCGGACTGTGCTGGTGCTTCTGTGCTGCTCCGTGGCTTGCTGGTGGAGGTGGCGGACTGTGCTGGTGCTTCTTTGTTGCTCCGTGGCTTGTTGGTGGCGGACTGTGCTGGTGCTTCTTTGCTGCTCCATGGCTTGTTGGTGGAGGTGGTGGTGCTCCATGGCTGTCCTGCTTTGCAGGTGGTGCTCCTCCATGGCTGTGCTGCTTTGCTGCTCCATGGTGTTGCTCTGCTGGTGCTGGTGGAGGTGCCTGACTGTGGGCTCTGCTGTGAGGTGGCGGAGCTCCTCTCGCCCTCCTTGGCGATGGTTTGGGGGGCGGCATGCTACCTGGAGGTGGCACTCTCGTTTTGGGCGGTGTCGCGCTCCTGTGCCCTGGACGAGGCGGATGCACGCTCCTGTGCGCAGCTGGAGGCGGCGCCCGACGAGGTGGAGACGACGGCGGCACACTCCGACGGATGATGCTAGCCATATTTCTTGCTTACCGGATTCGCTTCCGAGAAACCTTTTTTTTAGGTCATGAAGGTTTAGTGCATATAAATGATTCTTGTACGGACGCATTATCTGCAGCGCTTTAAAGTTATGATGTCCAGTTTTTGCGATCATGATGGAAGCAATATCACTGTTCGGAATCTCTTTCTTTCATTATCACATAATGCTCATTTGGTTCTTCCCCCAAAAAAACCGGAGCTCGTTGATAAACTCTCAGGCTCAATTCTAGGAGGAAGAGCAAAGATGAGAATGGTCGTTCACCACGATGCAATGCTCCGTGCGTAAGAATTTAATCAAAATCTCCACTCTGGAAGCTTATGTTGTTTGAAAATTCTTTTCATTGCGTTTTAGGCGTCAAAGATCGTGTATTGTGACCTTATCGACACACACAAAAGAGAGACAGCCCATAGCAATGGTTTTTATAGTTGAATTTGCTTTGATGGTGATTCTCGGAATCACTCTTCAATGGGCGACATGGATCTGGGGCTAAAGAAATTGATGTTTAATATTTGATCATAGACTTAAATTACCACTATATTTATAGCTTCATTTTTGGACTTAAAATTTAGTCGTACTACATATTTTTGGTTTATAACTATTATAATTGACTTAAATTTTAGTCACAATTAACTACTAAACATAACGACTATATTTTTTGTTTTATAACCATTATAAATTACTTAAAATTTAGTCATAAATTGGAACTGCAAATGTCAACTTAAGAAATTTTTTAATTCTGACTTTAAAGCTAGTAAGAAATAATGACTACTACAAATAACTGCATATTTTAACTTTTGTGTCTTAAATTGTAGTTACAATATCAATGGAAAGCTTAATGACAAAAATTTAAGTTGTATAGCAAATTAATGCAATAACTTAAAACTAAGTTGGGCTCGTGTAGTAATGGACGATCTTGTTTGTGTCAGGCACATTTTACAACAATGAGCCAACTGCCTGATTGGGGGAGGATGATGCTGGATCGAAAGGAGTTCCCCCAATCAGGATCTAGATCACCCAATAGGAGCTTGATGCTTCATACTGGATTGTTGCCAATGTCCAGGCTGCTAAGCCCATGTAAGCTTGATGCTACTGGGAATTCATACTCAATTGGGAGTGTCCAGCCCTAACCACCAAGCTTGTGACACATAATCGATGCCAAAATTCTTCCACACATACGCAATCTTGCCATAGACACCTTGCTTGATGTTTGTGGAGAAGATGTTGTGGACGTGGAAGAAGGCCTTGGTGAGGGACTTGCTTAACGTTTGGGTTGACAAAGCACAGCATAGGCTGAGAGGAAGCTAAAGAACCATAGCTGAACACTCACCTGGAACTTGGGGACAGCCATGAATGAGGATGTGAAGCTCCTTCCTGAGCTGTAGGATGACTTTCAAAGTAAAGGAAACACTTTACTGACAAGCACAAATTCTCACATCATGATGAAACAAGAAGAGCTCAATCAATGACCTATGATAACAAGATAGCTGGAACAAGAAGTTAGTATGTATATTCCAAAATACCCAATCCTTGTGATGGCCAAAAGTGTCATAATAAAAATTTAGAAGACCTCAAATGAGCAGATATATGCAGCTTTTGTTGGATTTGATGGGGACACATTTAGCACAAGAAAAGTGAAGAATATTTAGAGCTAAATCATCGTCAATGCTCCACATATGACAATACTAATGATGAAACAAAATGACAAACTCATATAATAGTTGGCAGAAACAAGGAGCAGCGAAAGAAGCACTCCTTCTTTTGGCACTTGCAATGTTTTTCTAGAAAGAACAATAGAACTCTTTGCAAGGTAATCAAACTGTATTCATAAAGTAATAAACTCCAAAACACCTTGTAAGTGAGTACTCTTTTCTTGATTAATAGTACACAAAATTCTTCTATAGCTTGTTTGTTCATACTCTAGGAAAGCTACCTACATTAACCAGTAGCTAAAGAGAGAAGTACCTAAGCAAAATACTCATTGCAAGGCCCTAGTTATTGTACACTTTCTTCACCTCCTTGACATAGGCGTTTTCTTTTTTGCCATAATTGCTCTTTAGTCTTGCTTTCTGGCTAGCATCTGCTAGTTCAATAGCTCTTGGATATTTGTTCCAACCTGGACAATTCAATGAGCTTGACATGAAGGACAAAACAGCAAAGAACAAACCTTGCCAATAAACGTTAGGATGTTTATAACAATCTAAGAAATCATCTTGCAGGGGCCAATTCCATCAACAACCAAAGGTAATGAACAAGGACCTGAATTTAAAAACAGATTCAAACTTGGAGTTGTCACTCTTGTTTGATATATACAAAGCACAAGCAACATGTATTCTCATATGACTTCAATGACTTGATTTATAATGTCACTCTTGCTTGCCAGAAGATAGAAAGAATAAAACACTGTCTTGAACTTCACAATCCTGAGATAGTTGCATAGACAAACATTATGGATATTTATGGAATCAAATAAAACTTATATTTCCATCATGTATTTGGACAAATCAACCTTCCTGGCTGGTTTGCAATGTAATCAGATCAACACACCTCATCAAAAAGTTCACGGAGATCAAAGTAGTACCACTGACTATGGAAATACTTCCTTAAAATCTTAGGTACATGGTTTGTAAGCAATAATGCATTATTCACAACAATGATACCCACCTAATCACAAAGGAAGATTGTATCATAGCTCATCAATAAAATTCATGTACTGTTGTATGAATCATCCATTATATCATCCATTACTAGGAAGTAAACTTGTAGCTTTGCATGGAAAAGCAAAAGGCAGAAACCAAAACTATTTAGAAATTCTTTACCAATTGATGTAAGAACTTACCCATTCAATACACCATCCAAGAGCAAATGCTTGCTTGATTTCATCCTGGGAGAGCTCATCTTTGGACTTGAGTAACACCAAATTGTCAATCACTGAGAGACCTTGATTTAATTTTCTAAACATTTCTATAATTTGTCCACTTCTAAAAGAAAAACACACTTCTAAGAGCTCTAAAAACTACCTTTTGTACACCTCTATTTGTAAAATAAGATTGGCATTATTAATCTATATATATCAAACTATTTATCATTTCATATTTTATTTCCTCATAAATAACTGGAATGATAGTGAATATATGGTAGTTTCTCCCTCCTCAGGTTCTAGAAAG